CGTCAGAATAAGTGTGAAATTTGACATAATATGTCTCCATTCACAGTTTTTAATATCATATACAAGGTTAATAACATGAAAGTATTTTTCTTATTTTTTTATTTCTCGTAGTTTTAGTGACGAAGTCACATAAATATTTGTTTTTTATTTCAGATCTAACGCTAATTAATTTCTAATGTACAATATTTCTTATGTATTATATCCTAATGCAGTTAGGAAAACATCTTATAAATCACGAGTAAAGACAGTAGCTTTAGATAATGTATAAAACAATGTAGCGGTATTCTTAGATTATAAAAATGTCGAGAATATGTGGTCATACATATTTTAGGTTAATTTACACGAAAGTCTGGTATAAATGAGACTGTAAGATAATACATTTAGGCTACGAATATTTGACCGCATTACCCATTCGACATATCATCCATCAACTTACTTCCACGGACCTCATTTTCCTAATAAGGCTTAAAAATTAATACACTAAGTGTTTAATGTTCCACTAAATGGTTTCTGTTTATTTTACATTTGCTGCTGAATTTTATCTTTTTAAATTATCGTTAAATATAAAATAACGATAATTGAGGTTAAAAAGCTCAGATTTTTATCTGTAAAGTATATTATAGATACGATTTTTGTGAATGAAATTTGCTCCTAACACACTTATTTTTTATGTAGAAAGGTTTTGCTTTCGTTTTAGTGAATTTAATTGTTGGTAAAGTAACCTTATATATATTTTAATTTACTTTCAACGTTTATTTGTTATAAAATAGGTAATATGATATTCTTAGAGGAGTAATTTTCGCGATATTCTGTTCACCGTTGCGCAGGTTGAACTGATTTTGGAATCATTCACCCCACCCCACGTTACGCTCGCTAGCTGTCAGGAGTTTGTATTGTCTCACGAATTGAACGATCCTTTGTTCGCTACACTTTACCTACAGTGTAAGCTAAACCACTTGCGGAACACTTCGCGCCCACTTCTAAACGTAATATTCATGCCTTTGAGAATGCGCCTGAGAACCATTACTGATTTAACGATATTTGCTCTACAATAACAAGACGCCCATTTCAGCACCGAAGAAACCTCTCAATCTAAGCCGCTCTATACCCTTTATAAGACATTATTGTTGTGAAAAGTAGTTTACGCTTGTATAAATAAATAAAATAATCGTTTCCCATTTACAAGTCGCTCATGCTAAATATACAAAAGCTCGACCACTTTCACTCTAAAATACAGCATTTGAATCCCGCTTAGAACTTTCTCGTGATGAAAACGTATAATTTGAGAATGGCCTATTAAAAAATAGACGATACTTTAACCAAACAATCGAGGCTTATCGTTTTTAGACCGCTTTAACCATTGATCTTTACCGATTATCGGGTAATTGTGATTATGATAATGCTTAAACCAACTTTTACTATTACTTATTTTGAAATAGAAAGCCTTATGTATTGTTTATTGTTATAGACCGTTTACAATGGACACATCAGAATGTTTCTAGTTGAAACGATGTTGGCAATGTTTTTATGGTTTCCCATAGCTAAGCCAAGATGCATTTCCTGCTTGTTGTATTTCCATTTTACAACTTTATAGAGATGTTCGTTCACCTCATGAACACTCCGTCTTCCCTTTTGGACCACCCTACAAAACGTTATACTGGACTTAACATTCTTGTTTTATGCTATAAAATTATGTGATTTATTTCCTGGCCTATGAAAGACCTGTCAAAGTTTTTGAATTATTGGATTTGATATAACTCACATTCTAAATCCGTTTAGCACTTTGCCTATTTTAGCTGTCACGTTTATGTACAGATGTTGCACAAAACTGGTGTTTCTGGGATATGTTAGCATTAAATGTGGAAATTTTTAATTTTCGTTTGTTAGATTTTTTTCTGTCATCAATTAACTACACACTCACACAATACACTTTTTTAAAGGACGAAATTTTAAGTTATTACTAAGAAAAATAGCGTACTTTACCCATATAAAAGTCATAACAATATTAAATAAAAATATATATATGTATATATTTTATGTTGTTATCACTGGTGATTTTGTCAAACATTGAGAAAATAGCATAAGATCATCATAAAAATTTCATTATTTTTTAAATTAATTTCTTATAGGACAGACAATCTGTGTTTAAACGTCTTTTAAGTTATTTTGAAATGAAAATGTTGGAAAACATAATAGTCTATTTATTTCAAATCTAGCTACTTAAATATAAGATTTAACTCAGTAACGCAAAGATTTTAATAGGGGAAAAAGATTTTTATTTCAAGTCAGTACAAAAGCTAAAATGTGCTGTTGTGACAAGAATAGGAAGAAAAGGCAAGATCTTGTTTAGGAGTATTCTTCTTTATTTTATTATTTACAATAACCTTACTCTCCTTATTGCTCAATTTATTAGAACATTAAATTTTATTTAAAGTATTATATAAAGAGTAATTTTATTGATTTAATATATGATACAAAATTGAGTATAAAATTAATACATCAGTTTATTGTGTTCATTTCATATTTATTTCAATAGTTATGTACTATTAAAGCTAAAAATATTAATGATCGGGCTTACTAACAGTTAAATGACTAATTAGTTTATTCACAAAAGTTTTTAAGAGGCATTGCATTTTGACGAATAAGAAAATGTATTCTAATTATATCTTATAGTAGTTTTTGCCCGCGACTTTGTTAGCTTCAGAATTAGAAATGTACCTACAGCTGACTGAGCTCTATTCCTCCTAAAATCAGTAAATAAGAAGATTTTGGATTTGATCAACTTAGTTTTTTTCTTTTTCAATCCTTTCCTTTGTTCTAAGCTATCTTTCCACCAATTTTCAGCCAAACCCGTACAGCTGTTCTTGAGTTATAAATACTATAACTGACACGACTTTCTTTTATATATCTAGTTTTTTTATATTTAGTTAATAATTATTTCAATACTCATTTTTTATAATTTGTAAAGCTAAACTTATAAAAAATTATTATGATAAAATGTCATCAGATGTGAATGTACCTTTATATAAACTATAAATTTATTCCAAATCTAAATGATAAACGTAAATGGAGTCAATTAGTTTAAAAGCTGAGCTGGAATAACAGCTATTATTAAATATAATTTGTTATATTAGCACACTTAATTGTTAGGTGATAGTAAGTTGGTCTATCAATTACTTAACACCCGCACGGTGCTGCCCGATATCACCCATTATAAGCGCATTAGAGATGGTGTCGGCACGCCATAAAGGCATTACTACAATTTGTAACACGGTCACATGGTTTCTTGACCGCCTAATTTTGTTAAGAATTGCTGTTCATGTGGTATACCAACAGTTTTTGCTAGCGTGCGAAAACTTCTTCACTATCGTGTGTCTGTGCACACACTCGTCTCTTTATATTAATTGAATGTACAGTTTTTAATTTAAATAAATGTAATCGGTAACACTTAATGGTTTCGTGCAACGGTGATGAGGCATTTTTTTAATAAAATTTCATCACGCTTAAAGTTATGATGTTTCACTTAACCTTGCATTAAGTTTTTTTACTTGTCAATAGTCATTGTCTTACCTGACGCATTCTAATAATTAAATAATGGACCTCTTAATAGATATAGTAACATACTTATTCAAAATATACATTTGATATAAATCTAGGTGAAATGAGGTGTATTGAAATAAGATTTAATATTCTTGATTTCAATACCTTTCTTCGTGTCTGAAGATAAATAGACTGATGCTATTAGTCTTAAGCACGAACTCTTAAAAGCATACTATAAAATATAATAAGGATTACACACTCACAGGTATCTCTCACTGTAAACAAATATGATATTAACAAGTCTAAATTTTACATTAATATAATAAAGCAAAACTCTCATCAAAATTATTCAACAAGATTCAACATCATCCTTACATATCCCACTGCGACGATGAGTTTCATAAACATTACTATAATGCTTCTATAACTTTTCATTTCTGTCATAAATTTATTTAACAAGTGTAAGTTATGTGTATAAATAATTTATTTTATCGAATAGGAATAGTTTTACGAATCCAGCGGTCGCGACCCTTCACTCCCACATATAAATTGTAACAACCCGGTGGTTCGTGAAACCGTGTTCCCTATCCTGTCACATAACTACAAGCTTCTGAAGTTATGTTCCCTCGGGTATTGCTTGTTAACAGTGTCTTTAGCTTAATTATATATTACCATCTAGTGGCCCTATTCCGGTAAACATCGGCTTATACGTACCTTAGAATTAGGGGATTAAAACACTAAATAAGAATTTAGCGATGGTAAAAAATAACATAATTATTGACAAAATTAATCTTGAATTTATAGAAATGAATATATTTCTTTGGCATGAAGACTTATGTGACATTTAATAATTTTTTGGGATAGCGCTGGTAGGTGAGGGTATGAGCTAATATATAATGAAACCATATCAAGAAAGTATATAATAGATAAAATCCACAACATAGGCTGTACATATACATTAAACAATATAATTTTGGAACTATAACGGACGCAGATAGCAATTGAATATAGATCGGAGTTATTTTATTGATTATGTCATTTGTTGCGAAATATCAATAAAAAACACTGAACCTATAACTTTACCGTTATGCTGGATGTCTGTCATTACTAATTTACTTTTCAGAATATTGGATACTTTAGCCGATTAGAACTCCATATTTGTTTATGCGACTGTTCATTTTACAACAAAATACTAATATACAAATTATGCGAAATATCCTTTTATTTAAATATAAACTTTTTTGGCTTCACCTCAATCAACAAATCTGAATTTTAAAAAAAACTGTTGTATTAAAAATATTATTAATTTTTTTATAACCAGACTTATTGATAAATAATTATAATTATTAATATTCAATTGTAGGATCTTTGTGTGTTCAGATTATTCATATAGAAGATTAAATTGCCTGTCTATAAAGCCTGGGGTTATGGAATAGGACAGGAAATTTAAACGACGATAAATGACCTCGGGGCCTGGAAAGCTGGCTCTTAAAACTTTCACAGGACATAAACGAATAACAGTCGATTATCAGTCAACAAACAAACATATAGGTAATGATGTCAGTCTACACTTGTTCTACTCACTTTCTTACAAATCAAAGCTTGACTAGTCATTTAAAAGCAATAGGTTCTGATTAAAGTAACAGTTTTACAAATAAACATTTAATACAGATTCTGTCGGATATATTCAGAAGTTTTCAATGAAATACAAAAGACAACAATGTAAAGTATGGAACATTGCTGCGAATAGCTTCAATACATCTTGGAACTCTACTTCCCTTCCTGCCAGAGAAATGGTAATAGTAAATGAATGAATGTATTGTGTTAGTGAATGTGAGACGTGCCTTTCTTGAAACCATTGACCTCAGCACAAGCAGAGCTCGACAAGCCAACCATGTTCTGTCACAAGCCGCATATCGCATGCAGTATGCAAACAACTTTAGTGCTCTAACTGTATGTATACCGAACACGAGATACGATTCTTTGCACGAACATAAAATACTATAACGTATGTATATCATTAAAAAATGCTTACTTCAGATAATTAAATTAAACTCTCACCTGGTCAAAATACGACCTACTTAAAAAAAGTATTTTAAATAATTATTTTTAGCAAATGTTTTTGTTACTGTTTAATATATATGTATATCTTTATTAAAATATTTATTATAGATATCGAAGTTTCTAAATAAATTTTAATAATGATCAAACCAAACAAGTTAGTGACCTCGAGGAATAATCATTTCTACTGGATGAACAATAGGCAATAAAAATTATCCATGTGTATGAAATCTGCACAAATACTTTAATGAATTATATAAACATGGGAAAATTAAGTTATGATATTCCATGTCTTTTATTTATTCATAAATATCCGAAGTCATCGTAAGCCAAGAACTTATAATGAAGTAGAGATTTTCTCATGACGCTCAGTAACCTGCCAATGACTGGCGCTAAATCAGAAATCGCTTACAAGTTTGAATGTTTTATTGGATTATTGAACACATGTTTACTCGTATCATTCGTATTCAATAATATAGGAAAATAGTCCATCGTGACCTTTTAATACTTGCTTTTATAAAACGAAACTTCCTATTTGCTATGATTAAATTACTATGTCTCTTGCGTGTAGCGGTCTCATATGATTTAGTGCTCATCTAACATAGTTTACGCTCTCAGATAAGACTCACTGGGATGTGCTTAGAAATGAAAGAAGATAAGTTACCGGTAGTGGGAGTAATTAGAACTAAAAATTATGATTTTGCATGCTATTACTCTCAGATACATTAGGATATATTTTATGAACACTATATTTTAAGCCAAGTTTAATTTTACTTCAACATCACCTAGCAAGTTTACAAAATGCATAATCGTAAAACGTTCGTAAAATTATTAACTTCCTACGCGAACCATCTTATATACTTTTTATCACATAATACATTGCTTGGACCTATAACAAACCTATATAAAATTTATAGTTTCAGTAACGTCTACCAAATAGGGTTTTCCAATTAACGTTAATTTACAACTTCTCTTTACAGTTAGGATTGCAATAAACGATTATAAAACAAGTACTTCGATCTATAGACAATAGTGTAGATATTTTCCGGAAGCTTTTAATTGTGCGGCTAAAGTAATAAGTTGTGTATTTCTGTTCAAAGACACCACTGTTTGAATCACTAATGAGAGAACGCAATTCAAATCACTTGTTTTTATACGGAATAAATTATAACACAACAACTCGTATTATTAATTCAAATGATAAATACATGACAATACCTAACCATATCGAAGAAATCAGGGTGGTATTTCATATCAATTCACTAAAGAATTTATCTTAAGCGTAATTTAAATTGAATCAGTTTTATTGCTACTTATACCGACTATTGCTCTATGACCATCGTCTAAAGCATTTTAAAAGGATCTAGGATGCTATAAATTGTTATATTGCATATAATTAAGCTATACATACATTCGTTAATTCAAAATCATTAAAGGATACAGAAAGCGGAAATTGAAAGCTCTATGATGGATGTTTATAAAATAACAAACAGAGGAACGTTTTAAAACGAAAATTAATACCAATATATTTTTTGAATAAATGAAAGTAATTTATATTTATTAGCATAAAAATTTAAATGTTAATAAGGATGTAGTCAGTTCAAGTCTGCGTACCACTGATCAGATGATGACTACACACTCCCCATGCTCGCTACCGGTTCAGACTAGCGACTGTGTTTAAATTGTTTACAACTTTATTAAATAAACATGTATGCATGTCGTGAATGATAATTAAGAAATAAGCGAATGAAATGCAATAGCGGACGCAAGTTTTCTTGCTTTCATTCAATTGCCTATTGTTCGGTAAGACCATGAAGATCACATTAATGTATATTAATTTACATAATGTAACTAAATTGAAGTTACAGCATCTAACTATATTATTTTATCATGCTACTGTTCCTTTGTGATATATTCTTTTTAATTTTTTATTATCTAATTACGATCCAATTATTCATATATGTATGTATATTTATTAAACCAAACTTATTTCTATCGACATAGTATAAACTGTACAGTCGAGACTTGAATAAAATATATGAGTGTACTCTTAATTAGAAGTTATTCTATAAATTTTAAAAGCGATGATAAGGTCCCGTTGCCCGCTCAGTTGAGGCAATGCTCGCCAGCTAATGGCGCCTTGTGAATTAACTTAATTAATTCCTCTTCGAAAATGTACGCGGGATTCGCAAATAGATTTAGGCAAACTATCGCCACTCGCTATCCGCGCTTAGAAACTTGACATTAGTTGCGCATAGTTTTGCAACCGCGTAATAAGCCGTAAGCAGTTTTAAGACAATGTTGCTGTATGTTAATCGATACATTTTTATGGTTTTTATACTTGTTATTATCTGTCATCAATAACGACTCCAACAATCGAAAATAAGAAGAAAAAAAAAGTTAATTGGCTCTATACGTAAAACTTACTTATCTTTTCTCACTTATATAATGCTTTATTGACAACTTAACAAGTGTTATAAATATTCCCGCAAGGCTTGTGCTACTTTAAATTTTTAATAAACGTTTTCCTTTTTGTAATTGAGTATTTTTAAACCGTAAAGTATTTTATACAATAAATTATAGTTTTTAATAACATAAACAATGTAAAAATAGTTTACTTACAACCTATTTGTGATTGACATTATAATTCTATGTTTCTTTAACGGTAATTGGCACAAACAAACAATAAATAATTGGTTTAAGAGGAAATTCTGGTTGTAGGTTGAAGTATACAGAAGCTTCGCATTTCTGTACTTATCGAGCATTTTGCTCTTAGTTTGAATTTTATCAAAAACAAAAAAAAATCTAATAATTATTATATTTATATATTAGTTTGTTAAGAGTCATTAATAATAAAATTGTATCACACTTTAAGACATTAAATAATTTTCATCTATGTTATTATTTATTATATATTAAAGTAAAATATTAATTCTAGAATCCCGAAACTAATTTCTTTTCCATTAATATTAATTAAATTATATGAATATTTGTTTAAAGATTATTAACATTATATATTTTCCATTAATAATATAAACTTTTCACTTACACTAAGGTTTGCTACTGTTTATGTTATTGTTAGGTCGTAAATGGAATGAAGCCTTCTACTGAGTCGCGTGATAGCTGGGTGTTTTGTCGGTAATTAAGAGCGAGATTTAGATTTTTCCTTACGAGTTGTGATGACAGTTTTGTAAGTCTTCTTGGATTACTGACTAGAGAAAATTTATAGCACTTAACTGACCGTTTGATTCAATAAGGATTGCAATATATTATTATTGAGTAGTCTTAAACAAGATACTATATAATTATAAATATTTGATGATTACATATGGTATAAAATCGTTAATAATATAAACAACATTATCAAATTTTTAATACCTCCATTTAATATATGTATGTACGATAATTAAATCTAACAATTTAAAGTCACCAAATAGCTTCGGTTACGTTATTAATTGTAATGCCGTGGGTAACGATGTTGCATAATGAATAGATATTTAATATGCAAATAGGACAGGAACTTTCGTGAGATGTCAATATAGCACGGGAGGTTAGTTGCGGATCAGGCAACGGTAAAATGGCAATTATCATTTGTTGTAAACTAAACTTTGTAAACGGTTATCGGGTGTTTTACAGTAGCGGACGGCGATTAGCCCTCGAGTTTATGCGGCTAACGCAAATTACAGCCTTTTACGTCACCGTGCAACACTAATGCCTCTAGATGTTTAATTCTATTACATCTTGTTCTTAATTATATTTATAATGCTACTTAAACTTTTAGAAATAAAAGTAACAATTGATACATTATGTCAACAGCATACTCTCACGGGGCACAGTGGAAAAGTGATGGCAGCGAAATTTCTCGGAGAACCAACAAAAGTAATTTCTGGAAGCCACGATCGAACGTTAAAAATATGGGATCTTAGAAGTAGAATGTGTAAGTTTGGATTTGTTACATTTTCTGTACTATGTTGCATATTAAAAAATCACTACGGAGGAACTTTTTGTCTTAAAATCTAGAGTGAAGTATAGCTATATTTTTCAGTGATATTAACGCTTTCTTAAAAATAAACTAAAATGAAAAGAATATACAAAACAATTGTGGATCTTTTTACTCTCAATACAAATTGAAATAGCTCTATAATATTCACACGTATTTTCTGCGACTTATATTTCCCATTGTTGTAAATGAGAAGATCATTAAATGTCTCGGCAATAAATAATAAAGTTGTTTTGGTACATTATAATTACATATATAATATTTTTTTTATAATTTAACAATGGTGCTGTTCAGGTTTGATGATATGATTTCTCATATTATTAATTTTTTTATCTCCAGTCATCCCATGAAGTTATATTGACAAAATGTTTTACTTGACTTCTAAAAATTTTTATTCGTATTTTCGTCTTCAGGTACAGAAACCAAATTCGCAGGATCATCTTGCAACGATCTGGTGACTTCAGACGGCGCAGGCTCCACAATCATCTCAGGACATTTTGACAAACGGATACGTTTCTGGGACATACGCACAGAGATGTCGGCCAACCACATCATGCTCCAGGGCAAAGTCACATCGCTCGACCTCAGCAGAGGTACGCATGTGCTCTCTATAATCACAGCCATCAATCGCAACAAGTTAATTAAGCCCAAATCGAAAACCACGACTGACATACAAAACAGTCAAAGCGTTTATAAGCCGTTGAAAAATGCTCATTAATATCTATTGCCCAAAACTAATATACAGATATAATTGAATGCACAGTGTATTAGTACCGGTATTCGTGCCAGTGCGACGTGACGGGTATGCGTTGCCCATTTCCGTTACGCCTTCTAACAATCCCTTTTTTGTCAGTAACGGTTCGTCCGGCTCACGAAATACTAAGATCAATGGATCTTCCCGGACTTCGTGGCATAGGGGAGTAAATGATAAAATCAATTTTACGCTAGCATAGCCAGCATATGACTGGGGAAACAATTTACAGTTATACATAGGATCACCGCAGTAATAACATTAACGGCACGTTTTTAGTATGTCCAATAACGTTTATATATCGATACCTCCTAAGTATAATGAGTCAACTGACATTATTGTAATTTTACAGGAGAGTGATTTGAAGGCAAATCGTTTATATTTTAATGAAATCAAATTAATTCGAAATAAAGTAAATGTTTTTTTAATAAAAATTGTAAGCACTTCCTTTGACATATAATGATTTTTCTGATTTTTGTTTTTAAATTACATTTTATGTAGATGACTGGGTATACGCCGGCGGGGCTCAATAGTGAAATGGTTTAACTACCAGTTATATTCATATACGTTGTCCACCAAAATCCATCGTTTACACCTAAACCACATGAAATATGGTGGTCATTTTATGAATATATTTTTACTTTTATTCATTTTCGGGGTTTTCTGTCTCACTTAATAATAAAATGTTGAAATTATATCACTTGACTCATTATACGAGGAAAGTACTAGCAATGTTAGCATTTAAAACCTCAACGTATACTGGACCAATGTGATTTACGCGAGGTTTTTTATTAATATTTTTTAATATTTTACGATATGTGGGATTAATAAAAGCTAGGAAGAAGTACAAGAATTATAAACCAAAAAAAAAAACTCGTTTTAAAGAATCATAATTTACTTTTCACCATAATTAAGTAGGAATATCTTTTTAAAATAATTGTTTTATAAAAAGCTAAACGGAAACTAATCACTATTAAATATATGAATACTCCATCATTAAAGTTTCATAAAAAACAACAAACAATTATCAATCAAAATAAAAACTAAAACAGCTTCTCCTTTAGAAGGTCAATAAAAATAATCAGAACTGAAAATGGTAACTTACGTTAAACATTAATAAAGATTATAGGAACTAATAACGTAACAGTCTAGGTATTTCTAATGCTCAAAAATTAGTGACAAGGCTTAACAAATTAGAAATAAGTCAGAATCGCTATTGCTAGATCCATTAGAAAGCTAGAAGAAAAAACAAATAAACATTTAACAAAATATCGATGTTCCATCATCAAAGTTTCATAGAAAAACAATGAACAATCAATAAAAAGAAATTAAACAGGTACTCCTCTAGTGCGTCACCAAAAATAATAAGAACTAAAAATGGTAACTTACATTATACAATTTTAATAAAAATAATAGAAAGTAATAACACAACAGTCAAGGCATTTCTAATGCTCAAAAAATATAAAGTTTAACAAATTAGAGATCAGTCAGAATCGCTGTCGTTAACTTCATTAGAGTCCGTTGAAATCAAATTATTAAAAAATAAATGGGACTCCTTAGGAATGTCCAGCGTCTTACAAAGGTCCATCAGGTCTCTGTGCTTATTTTGGTCAATAGGAATGGGTCTCTGATAAGCTAAAGAAATATTGTTTACATCAATATTTAATTCTTTCGATTTCGTGTAGCTTTAGGTTTTTTACACTATCTATCCACTTGTAAGAATCATCTTGGTAACTCGTCTTATAAACCAGCCTAAATGGATATTCCGCTTTAACTTCTACTTCCGTTACCTTATTCCAGAGCATTTTGGGTCCATCGTTGGTAGTTGTCCAGTTGTTTATAAGTTTTAGCTGTGATTTAAAGTCTTTAATTAAATCCTGCGACACTTTAGTAACTTTGTGTGGCTTTTCATCGGATTTAGCAAATCTAAAAGCTGTATACCATTGATCAGGCGTATAAAGCAACTTATCTTTAGTCTGTCTTTCAATTAAAGCGTGCATACTGTCGCCTTCATTTTGAGTGTGACCCACAACTAATATCTATAACAAACTTCAAACTAGCTAACATATACATTAAGAACACAATTCTGTTTCTATTTTGGCCTCCACAGTTATCTGACCAGAACCGGTAATCTTTGACACCATTATCCACCGTATCCTCTATAAACTTGAAAACACAGTTGGAAATTTCATTAGCGCCTCTCTTTGCTGTCTGTTGATGCCATGAAAAACAATAACCCTGACGAGATCCCAGATTGAATTTTGTGAAATTATACAAAGAAAGTTTCCGTTTATAGTAAAAAGTGATGTTTGACTCCATTTTGTTACTAATAGCACTCGACGCCCATGGTCGTATATTGAGGTGCGATGTAGTTGTATCAAGGCGTCCTCCCTCACGCCCCGCGTACACTGGTACAATGTTAGTTAGATCAGTTTACAATGTATGATTTTTACTGATGTTGCAGTTGATTTAGTATACGTGAAATTATTTCGGTAATTATCGTTCTTTTTTTATTTTTTTTAACACAAACGTTAAGATCACGACTTATCACGTACGTTTATATAAAAAAATAAAAATACCTAAATTTGTTAGTTGACTCAGTATACTTAGGAGGTATCGATATGTTATAGATATTTGCTACATTAAAGTAACATTGCATTATTATGATAGCATCATTCCAGAAAGTTAAACATATATAAACTTTATAACTATATCGTAGCAATAATAATTAAGCATAGATGGTATGATTTTGTTGGTATATTTTGCAATCCGTCATGCATCTTAATGATACATATTTTCTTGTGTACGTTTAGAGTCTTGTAAATTTTCATATAACAGATCTGACATCTAAAGCGAGCGAGGTGACAAGCCCAAAATACCAAGCTTTGAATAACGGGTGTAATTTAATTTTTTCGTTTGCTTTGTCAAACATCCGTTAAACTTATTAATTTTTATGACTATGGATGAGCTTTTTGTTTGAAATTAACTGAAGACTTTATTTAACCTATTTTACAAACATGATTTTCCGTTACATGATACAAATAATGTTCTGTTTAAACCTGTTATCACTTTAACCTTAATATGATTAGAGTTATATAGTAATAAAAAAACCATTGTCGTTGAAAATACCTCAGTAATATGCTTTTCGAGCCGCTCGTCCACTGATGTTACGAGTTTTAATTTAGATGACCCGAAGGTTTTCATACTAAACAATAAAATGTTTATATTAGATTTTATCAACGTGCTATCATAAATTGCTGGCGAGATTTGTAACACATTCCGTGCATGTTGTATCTTATAATGATAAGAGACTTGTTAAGGATTTTATTATATACTTTTATTTCCAGATAGCAACTATTTGTTGGCCTGTGTCCGAGATGATACTATACAGCTTATAGATTTACGAATGAACAACATTGTACGGTCTTTTAGGTGAGAATTGTATTATTCCTTTAATAGTTATATACCCTTAATCATTTTTACTTTTTTATAAGATTTTTTTTAAGACTTGAATTAATTCTTGCATATTTCGGTTACATGAATTTTTGAACACAATTATGTATGTATATATTTTTTTATACAGATGATAAACAAACATTTTACATTTTCTAGATTTTAGAATAATAAATTATAAAATGAAGCAAGTCATTAATATTCAACAACTAAACGAGAGAGAAATTTATAAAAATCAAAACGATATATTTATTCAGCATTAGTCACACATACATATGAGTCATGTTACCATAGATTGAGTGATGTGTCATCTTTGAAAGTTAAAGTAGAAAAAAAATTTAGACTCAATAAGTTCAATTAAAGCGAACCTTATCTTTAACATGTCATTTTATTACCGTTATTTATGTATAATTAGTTAATACATAGTTAAGTGTGCCACGGTGAATAGTCGAGTCGATTTACCGAAAATAATCAATGTGTAATAATTCTATTTACATTTCCAATTCCGAGTTGAGAGTTCCCCTATAATTTGTTTCATTAAGCGTAACTATAAAAGTGGCTGGCACTGGTACATACAATGTAATGTTAATCGATTTTCGTCTGTTATTAAATAGGAGATTTCCAAAATGATAGGTATCTATTTGTTTAGTGTGAAAACATTTTGTTTTGTAGTCACGAGTCGTTTAAGGTGGGTTGCGACTGGTCTCGGGCGGCGTTCGGTCCGGGCGGACGGCTGTTGTCAGTGGGCGCGGCTGATGGAGCCGCTTATGTATGGAACACACACTCTGGAAGATTGGAAGCCGTTTTGAAGGATCACACGTAAGTATATATCATTAGCAAATAGAAAGGTAACTTTGTGAAATCTTAACACTGTTTTTATTAATAAATACAGCATTAGAAGCGATATAGACTATGTGCAATAATTAATTGTATGGTAAGAATTTGATATATGTACTTCATCAGTAAATTAAATTTTTTTTTTGCTTAACGGAAACTTGGTACTATCTTCAGTTAGTTTTTAAGAATTAATACTATATTAACTAGCGATTCAGACTACGAGCAATAATTAATTGGATGTTAAGAACCTAAATTTTTTACTTAAATTTTTCTTACAATAAAATAATTTATTTTTATAAATTCTATACTAGATGTAAGTTCACGTCCTTTTAAGGTTAAACTCTCCTCCTCCTTGATCGTTCTTTGACCAATTTTAATCACCTAAAAAGATGTTTATCTTAATCAAGCATTACAACTGATTCTAAACAATAGTTATAATATCCGATTCATTTTATGACGGCTTTGTGAAATTAACAATAGGACTAACTACACGGTGACCTCTTACTATTTTCTAGGTTCTTTGTTTGTTTTTAAAAGAAAATAAAGTCCCAGAAAGAAACCGTAATACTCTAACTTTAAAGTAAATACAATTATTATAAGAAAAAAATCAATGTTTTTTTTAATAACTACGTATTTTCATTGAACGTATTCTCACATACGAAAATATTCATATTCAATTAAATTTTATTTATAACTATTCTACCTACTTTTATTTTTATTGATACAGCGGTTTGTAAACATATAATTTCTAACATTTCTCACTTTATCCATAATAATTATATGATCTTTTTATATTCGTTACAAATAACTTAATCGACAGATACGAGACGGATGGCAAGGATTAGTTTCTCTATCTATAACTTCAGAAGGAATGATTCCACTGAGCTTAACATTTTAAGAGAGTTAGATTAATAAGGATATATTCTATGTATCAAAGACACTGAGAACATAACTATCTAATCGAATGACAATTTTATAAAAGGATACGATTAATGTCGTTAGGGAATATCAATATTTTCAATTATAAATGTTGTTAAGATATTGAACGTTGAATATAATCTCACGGGTACACTTCCCGGTCTGTTACAGAAGGAAAAATATCTGAATAACAATATGTATTTGCGTGTATTTGAATTTGTTGTATGTAATTATAATAACATTCAATAATTCATTATAGAACACATAGTTGACCTTGAATGGAACACTAGAATCTTATTCCTCGTGACATCATTTAGTTTCTATGTAACATTTCGCATGGACAATTGAAATCGTGAGGTCAACATTGACTTGGTCTATACACAGCAAATTTCTCTTTCCCACAACATACCACGATAAAGATTGTTCCTTATTTATGTATTCGACATAATGATAACCGGTCAAACACAACTAAGTAATTAAAGCCCCATCATTGTCCAATGTATTCATGTTATTATGTTGCACTTTATTACAAGATACCGATTTATTATCGCCTGCGGGCTTTCATTATCAACTTGAATGGCTTCGTTTTATGTCGTTATTGACACACCGTTTAGTTTATCACTTGTCAACTGACGGTATATTTGATGTTTTATAACATAGTCTAATGGATATCAATTCATTAATTTGGATTTTTAATTAAAGCTTTATATGTATGAAATGTTCGTAACTCGATATATTTATGTGATATAAATTTTATATTTGTAATCAGAGTTAAATTGTTATTATAAGTTTATTATCGGTAATGATATTATGAAGTTTAATTCATATAATATAATATCAATTTAAACATAAAATATAATTATTAAAGTAAACAGATTGAGTTTACTTTTATAATGATTTGAGTCAATACTAATAACGTGATCCTCGTGAACTTAGTTGAGCGTTAACTTCTACCATTAATTCCATTACTTAGCTATGCCTAATTCGCTTTTAAACATACTTTGGTACGGTACTCAAATAACTATATATACACCGTTCTGTCGTAAATTTTAATTTTATCTCCAACGATGGAAATCATTTTGAATAGAACAATTTCGTTTAAGACAAGATAAACAATAAAGATTGCCTTTTGGCTTTTGCTATTGTTTTGCAATTCATAAATATTAAACCGCGAGCAGGAAATGATTTTATATCCAGAGATAGAATTTCTATCAAGATGTCGGATTTATGTTTTATAATTTAGATTTGTAGTTTAAAACCCAAAACCATTTTAATATTATTTCATGGATTCACTGGTTTATAATTTTTTTAAGCATCAATGAAACAAATAATATCATTACTACATAACTATTGTAATGCATCTGTATTTGATATTTCCTTGCCAAAGTAAATAACATGAATACTAAATCAAAATGTTTCTCTCTTGTAAGTTTCTTGCGACGTTTTCGTGTACATATGACATGTTGCATGCTACATTGTCGGAAGATGTTTCATCTGTGTAATGTCAATGCAAACAGAACTAGAGAAAAAACATTATCTCCTTGAAGAGATTAGAGATTATATGATTAGTTGAATTGAAACATTATGAATACTTTCATATATCAAGTTAATAAACTTTGTACTATTTTTAATTTGATTTCTTGTAATCATTTTTCTTTTAACTATTTTTGAACAAATTTTTCTCTTTATATTAAAATAACTGTAGCCACAGCACGTCCACCTTACAAGTTTACCGGACTATAAAATCATGTGAATCTGTTGCTATGTTTCTTAATAAAATGCAGATCTGAACAACATTTTACGTTTATAACATACCCTTCAATTACAAGGAGGTCAAGGGTTCTCGTCGTGTTAGTGATAAAACGATCGCTAGCGATTTTGTTTATTGTGTTCCGAAGGCTTAGAGCAGGTCCTATGTTTCCTGATATGTACAATAGAGCAACGACTTTTATGACGTCCCGCCTGGAGTATTTTAATATAATGTTTGTGTAACGATATCCAGCCTTGCAGACGGTCTTGCGCGAACTGCACGCGCTGTCCACACGCAGCGTGCGGCCGTTAAAATTTAACAGAGACACATGCGACACGTTGTTAATGTCGTCGTACTGAACATTATGATTTATAGCTTGGCCCCGACGACTATCTCCGATTTGTATCACCGGAGATAGCGGACCACTCCTTGGGAAAATTATTTAACATAACAGCTACATGACATCGGCTGCGATAAACAAAGATGCACCACACAGCCTAAGGGGACAGGAATTTGAGCCGCTAAAAGGTTAAACACGCCATTAACCAAAGCTTTATTATGTTGACTGGTTAATTGTATTATCTTATATTTTATACAGATTTATGATCAATATTTATTATATTATAAGAAAACGTTTAACCCAAATTTATACCTAATATTATAAACGTGAAAGTCGGTTGAGTGAACTCATATACGATGAGGAAAATTAAGCGTTATTTTGCGTATCAATTGAGTATCGTATAATATTGTTTTATGTCCCCCCTTAACCTCAAAACTCAAGTATTATAATACCCTGCTTTTATTTATATGATTTAACACTAGAAATCAGTGGCAATAACGTCAGCGAAATTTATAAGCACATTATTGCACATTAATGCGCGATTTATTTCTTAGTCAGTACTAATATAATTAACTTTGGTGTAATGTAAAGCTCATTGCTGCAAAGATATTATAGTTAACTACAATCTCGCGTGTCGTGTGCTCAGCTAGTGTTATTATTTCCGTGGTAACTTGATACAATCATACGTTAATGGAATAAAGCGATGGATAATTTATTTAAATGTATCTCATAAAAATATCATTAGTTAGATAAACAGCAAACTATTATGAGATCCGTTTGAAAAATATCATTCAAGTAACTGCAATGAGTATTTTTATTCTCAATTGAATTATATTATCAAAATGATAGAGTCATTCAAGGTTTTTTTTAATTTTTGTTTTTATTAACATGTTATAAGATTTACCACGAAGTAGTAATAATTAATTATTATTTCTAAAGTAGCTTTAAGAAGTTATTTCAAGTTTGTGTTTCTTAAAAAAATAACACAATTAATTTTATTCTATAGCGAACATAGAGAGCGGTCTTTAATCTCATACAAAATAAAGCTGCTTTTCTACTCGTTTTTATTAAGTTAGAAAATATTTGTTAAAAAAAAGTTTGTTAATATATTTATTTCTTTTAATAGTGTACGTTGAAATAATTCAATTGAATTAAATTTAATAACCAATTGAAATAAAAATTACTTACAAGTAATTTTTAGTTGTTGTTATACTTAAAAGAAAATATAGACAGTAATTAGTGCATTGTAAAAAACTCCCGTGAGCATTATAACGAACTAGCAGAAAAAAAAACAATATTTCGCTCACGTGAGAAGTATTAAACTTGCAACATATTATATGTATTACTCTATTACTGTGTGAATGCTAGACGCAAATGTTTAATGATAAATGACGTTGAGGTGTTTCACGCTAATCGCACAAATATAGTTTGAGCGGTTTGTTTATCTGATTTAATATATTTCCATGCTATCTTAGCATTCTTAATGTTGATTAACGACGTTAGTTGGACGAACTTTGTATGAGTAACAGAAGTAGGCCAGCTTTGATATTGTGATGGACCAATTAAGGCATTGCAACTATATATTAGAATTCGATACCGTTAATTAATTACTTAGAGCAATTGATGTTTCTATGCACGGTTTATATAGAATTCAGTTAACTCGGGACAAGCTTTTTGTGGATACAAGGCTATCGACCGAGTCGAATAGATTCTTGAAATTGCTTTATTGGGTAACCTGTTTCCTAACATAGTAATGCAGTTATGAATTGAGACGTGACTGATTAAAATATGTATACGAATAGTATTTAAGAACACCGTGCTTGCAACATAAAATTGATTGGTTACTACTAAATATATTACAGAGAGTTATAAATTAAAATTATGATGCTATCAAAAAATATTTTTTATTATTCATCAGTAATAGGATTTACATTTTACTTGCTGACGATATTTCTCATACCGCTACCCAACAGAGATGTTAAAAATAACGCAGAGCATATCGATATATTAATTAGTATTATAATTGCCTATTAATTTTAAAAGCGTATTCTGCTAACTCATTTTAATCATAGATGGAATGTAATGCATTTAAAAAAAATAATTGAATGTACCTGTTGATTATCCTTCAAGTGAGATTTATAAAATACATTAAATATTATAACCCATTCTGATGCGTATGCATTTTGAGCAACAATTGTATGGTCTTTCGGTACTTATTCACGTTGCTTCCTAGTCCCATATTGGATATTTCTAAGCTCGTTAAATGCAACCGAGAGCGGTATGTGTAAACGAACCAAGCAAATCTCACTCTAATTCTTGTTTATGAAGCTTTAACCCGCATAATGAGATATAAAACCGTATAGCGGCTTCCGACAATCAAAACAGGCCAACAAACCATCAATTCTGTATCTTAAACTATCAAAATGTCGCCGTTTCTTATATGATATACAAATTACCGTAAGTTTGTTACAATGTTATTATTTGTAATAGGAGATTCTTATTAACTAAAAGTGATTTGTATCGTCAATCACAAAATGTGTTTATCTGTATATATCCATACATTTATCTCTTTCTTTATTTATGAACCTTCAGTTAAATATATTGGTTGACCCAGTTTTTAGCGTTTGATAATATTCTGACAAGAGCGTTGCATTATTTCGGTTGGTATTTTTTTTTGTCAGTTTCATTAAGTTGCTACGCATTAATAAAAGTCTCGATGGGTATCTTCTAATTGCTAGTGGCACGGTTTTAATCGCCATCATAATATTTTTAATAAACGACCTTATAACGTGGGATACCGGTCATAGTCACCTCGTATATTCTCAGAAATATAACGGTCCAGTGGACTCAACATAAACTGCACCAGTTCTGTCATAAAATACAACGCTATCTGGTAGCAGTTTATGACCTGATGACCTTAGATTCGCTGATGCATCTCACTGTTATGGTTGTTGTATAACGTATTATATACTTTATTTTATCTTTTAAACTTATTGACATTTGACATTTATAACGGTTAAGTGTATAAAGAAAGCTTCCTGAACGTATCGATGTAAAATAAATTTAAACAATTTTGTTTGCAATGAAAGTCGCGGACGTGATAAGGCCCATTCGTTTTGCGGTCGTGATCCAGCGTTTCGAAGATATTTTTCACTGCACCATTACTTAGCACTAAGTCGACATTGAAAATGTCAAAGCTCATGTATTTGACGATCGAATAACTCTCGCGAAGCAAATGCTAAGTGCCATTTATCCATATTAGTATTGAGGATGCCATTCCTAGCATTTGACCTAGACTTCTCTGAACTTACATATCCGTCGTTTTAACGAAGTCATCATTTATGTGCAGGTTTTAGAATGTCTATGAATAATTGAGTTATATAAAAATAAAATACTAGTAGTGATCATAAATAGTTATTTTGTTGTATTTCATATTGTTACAGGTCAGCGGTAACAGCGGTATCTTGGCATCCACAATCAGGACTGTTAGCATCGGTCGATAGAGGAAAACGTGCAGTCATTTGGGGTGATTTGTGACAGGCGGAGGAGCACGATACACTTCCACAGCTTAAACAGGTAGCGAAAACACGAAACAACTGATTTTATTTCAACTTACATTAACGCACTGTAAAATAAGGTCCATACAATTTTATGTCAATACTTTTTTTGGCTGGATATAAATGAATATCATTTCTATTTCGAATTCCAACAAAATTAATTGGTCAGTTTTGTTAACCATATTAACATAATAAAATACAATTTGGAGCACCTAGCTGTGCTTTCTATTAAAGTTACAGAGATGCTTTTATTAACTACTCCAAAGAGGCGTGTAATGAAAATTAGTTATAGGTGACCTTAGCTCAGCTTGAGTAAATTGAATGAAAGATTAAATTAATTACAATAAATGCTAACTTGATAAGAGCTACATCGATGTTATACATAAATAATTTAATTGATTTCCATTAAGATTTTATGAGTTATCACATTGATATATATTTTTTATGCTTTTCCTTTTAAAACTTAGCATAAATTATGCTCTATTTGCTTTTAAAAGATACGCATTTTGATGAGCTTGTCCATTGTCATATGACGAGTAATACAAGTTATATACGAGTTTACTTAAAATGTGTTGGTCGCAGTTAACACAATTACAATGTCTAGACGTGCCTCTATTTACATTAGCATATATACTATTTGAACTGTCTCTCAACACATCTAACGGTTTTTAATAGAATTTTAACACAATACAATTATAACATTAACTAAATTATCCATTGATCAAACACAAAAGGTACATTCTAAGAAACTATAATAGTAGTTATTAACAATGTTTCATAATTCGATTTTGCTTTATGTAGATTAAAACAAATCCTTTTATTCGATGCGGCCAATACATTAAACATAATAATACGACTGGTGTTAATGGAACAGCTTACGGACCATTGAATTGACTGACAGACGTCTACCAGACATTCAAATGAAATAGCTTAGACGGTCTAATGATCTAGGTGTTCTGTAATTTGACTGTTAAATATATGAAACATTGTTGTTAAAAATGTGTATAGAATACCTATGTCCAGTACAATGCAAGTGAAAGCGTGACTTTCGACTTTCATTGGGTTTTGTGTATGTAACTTTTTGCGTCGGTCAACATATTGTCTCTCGACATGGATTTGCCGAATGACTTAAACTAATGGACCGTGCACGTCCAAAGACCAGTCACTTATTTCCGAATCCTTTCATATACACATATAATTATATTTAAATAAGTTTTTTAATTAATAATATTCTCATTTCAATTAATATTGATGTAACGGATATTGAATAAAATTTATTACATGGAATAATTGATGGTTATAAAATTTTACATTTCTCCTGGTTTTAATTACAGGTATGGCTATGTCCATAAAATTAAATGCAACTATCCTCTTAGCTTATAATAATATTTATACAATTTACATAGAATTGAATATAAAATAAATTATGTATTTATAATTCGTATACTTTATAAATGAGATAAAGCTCTAATATTAAGAAGTTAATTATGATGTTTTTAGCGTAAATATTTAGCTAATGTTTCATTGGTCTTTAGTCTTCTTATAAATCATCATATAATATTTTTCTTCTAACAGCATTTTTGAATATATAATATTTAGGTTTTTATTTAAAGCTACAAATTATTTAGTATGTTAAGAAATGGTGACAGTGAATGAGTTGCAAATGAATATCATGCCTTGTTTGTAGAACAAAAGACAGAAAAATTAAGAATTATATATTATTATAAATAATTCGTACTAACAAAAAATATGTGTAAGAAAAATAATACCTAGATAAAAATCTGATAGTAAAATTAATGCTTTGCTCTGTTTACTCTATATCGCAAATATTTAATTTAAATGTTAAATATGTATATGTTATATAATTATTTTAATGCCATAAAATTATTTAACTATTTTAATGACTGAAATAACTATTAAATCAAAATCGAATAGCAATCAAAACTGTAGAGTGGAGTGATGTAATAATTATCTTAAATGTAATCTCACGATCACTATCACTAACTAATAGAGTCGAGCTACCGAAAACAAAGTTATATGTCTCATATCAAACAGTCGTAAACGCCGCTCCATAGTACCGTTGTCCGTAGCTTGTAGTCAGTGGCGGCTGGTGGGTTCTCGAACTGGTGGTTCACTTTACTAAAATATTGACAAAAACAACAATTGACATAAAATATGTTTATTTTTTGTACATTAAATCAATGCGACGACATTTTTCTGTAGCGAAATGTTCTATCACCTTTTTATTAAAATCTGATTCCAGTTTCTGTCCAAATCGATTCTCCGCCAAAAATAATGCAAGGAAAACAAAAGAATGCATTAAGACGCTCACATCCACACAACCATTTCTTTCTATTATACATTTCACTTTTAAAACTTCGTATAAATGCTTTATTTTTCGATTTACACTCTTGTTTTAAATTTAAAAAGGGCCGTGGCGGCCCGGCCAATTTTATGTTCACTTTACTTTGAAAAATTTTGTTATTTTCTTTAATATAATCAATATTTATACTCATTTTCAACTAATAAAAAACGCAGTACAGAATAAAAGTTCTATTATAGAAACGAAATAAAAACTAAAACGAATTACGGAAATAATTATAAACAATAACGAATTAACGCGTCACGCATACAGTGAAAGTTGAAACAATACCAATAACGATTAACGAAATGTCAATCATAGCACCCATCCTTTCGGCCGGCCCCTTGCCGGCCGGCTCAATACGTCATACGTCGGGTGCTCTCGGTAACCTTCGGCCGCTTCGTGCGGCGCGCGAGAACCGACTCATTACTCGGTACATTTCTATGAACTATCTTTTGTCTCACGCGCCAGGCGTATTGATGCGTGTCTCATACAAGATGTATTAGCAGTCCTCGTGCACTCGCCGGAGCGCACGATATGAGTTTAGTAAAGCGCTCAAACTTTTTGACCATAATTGGAAATTAAATTTTTTATACCTTTTTGTATGTTTAAAAAATAAATATTAAAATGGTAATTTAAAAATTAAGATGACATAATATTTTGTAATTTTTAAATATTTTGAATTGGTGGTTCAGCGCACGGGCGCACTTAAGGTACAGCCGCCACTGCTTGTAGTCTTTCGGCGTAATGACCGTAGCTATCGCGACAACTGAGATCTTAATCAGCCGTCTGATAAGACAACCACATTCCCCGTCTCTGTCACCGCCAATCCATCTCTCTGATTAACAAATAACACGTTAGTTTAGCGCAACTGGACTTGAGTGATGCCTAATGAATACAGACCCAGCTAATGGATAGGAACACTTTGACAGATGAGCAATGACTGCAAGCCGTGAGATCTTTAACTCCTTGTAAGTCTGATTGTTTGTGTAAGCAATCAGTTTTTAGACTATATGAAAATGTATGTGAAGAAGTAGCAGTGCATGAAACCTTTGTTATATCATCTGTATATCATGAAACAATATTAAGTTTGTGCTTCTAAAACTGTACAGTGATTATTATGTGTTACATAAAAAAACGTATAATACTACAGTTCACTGACCGTATATAAATAGATTGTTTAATGTGAAATTAAATTTACTAGTTTACATAATTGTTACGGATTTGCGTATATACATATACATACATACGTTTTAAAATATTATTTCAGATTATCATATTTTTCGGACACTTTTGCATTAATCCCCTAAAATTTATTTACACTTTTTATCTCGTTTCGTTGGCCTCACTTGCTTGTTATATAAGTTTTTTCCCGGCTTAGTTAAAGAACTTTAATGACATTCAATTAAAACCTAACAAATATTTTAAAATATTACACGGAATAACTAATTATAATCTATATATTTATATTTATGTCATAGATCTTATTTATTTATATTTATTCTAATAAGATAATCATTTCACCATTATGTAATTTTGTGGGTGTGTATTTTTCTATTGTGTCGTTTCAATAAGGCATTCCGTTATAAAGTCATTTTAACAGTCTCGTATAATGCTTAGAAGTTGACGACGTGAATTCGTTTTAAAATACATACATTTCATAGCTCACGTAGTCCCGAAAAATGTTGGCTATTAAAATTTAAATTACATGGAGCAAACCGGTGATCTAGCTCTGTAAAAAAAATATGTATTATGCTTTCCTCGACTTTACAAGTATCACGTATTGAAAATGTTAAAAAATAATTGTATATATCGCGATAAACAAAACACGACCTCAAAATATATATTCGCACTCTCGAAGCCATCAATCAATCAATTAGTCAAATGAATGTGGACTGGTTTTGTAATAACTTGGGGATTATTAAAATTACGGTGGTAAACTAATTACATTTCATTGCTCGTGATTGAAAAGACATATTAAAATAAGAACTTGACGCGAAATTATTATTGCTTCCTGATACACGGTCTATATTATAATGATGTTTTTTTATTTATTTTATTATAAGGCTCGAGTCCACACGCAAGCTAATCCGAAAGCGAGTTAATAACAGTTTTAACTAAATTGCTATGAGAAATAGATTACAATTGACATGAAATGTATTCTATATCACACTCATTAAGTTTTTGCGATGCCATCTGTAACACTTATTTGGGTAGTTTTCTTTCTATTAATCTCAATACACGAAATTGCCCTTAAACACTTATATTATTACATATTTTTTATAGACTTTCATTCTAGCATTTATCTACCAAATTGTTGTTTAATCTCCAACATAATTCTATTCCGAGATTTAAAATTTACATACGATATTTATTCCATGGAAACTGTACATATATATTTTACAATAGAAGCGTATATTTTAATTATAACTAACGATTTCCGTATATAGAGCATTGATATCTTAGAACAGTAAATGTCGGTAATCCACTAACGAACGATATAAATCCAAAGCTCCGATTCGATTTGAAATAGTGCTGTGATATACAAATAAACGTGAATAGTTTATAACGGTTGGAATTCATATTACATATCAAACCATATATGTGAAAATGGTCTC